AAGAAGGGCCTACCAATATCAATTACAGTAATCAGATTAATCCCCTACAGGCCTGCCAGATGATTCTAGATCCGTCAAGTTGACAACACTTACCTTCACAAGTACATTTTGTATGTGTGTATTTTTTCATTTAATTCCCTAAACAACTTTGTAATTGCAAATATTATATTACATTTTTCTGCTTTATGATACCTCACCCAAAGGAGTATCATCCCCTAAGTACAAGGGATGCTGTATTAGAAGGGTTGTTACAGTCTCAGGAAACAAATAGGCCATTGAGTGAAACAGCCCCAAACAAAATAAATAGAATACAGATCTTAGAGACATTAGAAGTGCTATATCAAGTTGAGGTGGAGAGGAAAAGTCATCTCCTCCCGGGTTATGTTGAGTATCTCCATGATTAGGAATATCATTCCTAATCAGGGAGGTCAGTTTTAAACACAGAAAGAAGAACCCCCAGCCCCCAAGCCTTACCCTGTGACAGGCTTTCTAGACAGCCACCTGGCAACCTGAAGTTTGAGGTTTTATGGTTCGATGATAGCATTATCTTCTCAGTGGTGGAAAGATATGAATGAATATATTTACTCAAGGTTTATTTTTATGAACAATGAGATAATGGTTAAAGATAATAGATAAAGGTTAAAATAATATGAAATTCTGAACTCCCAAAAGTCTCCAGCAGCTGGCAATGTTCCCGGTGATGCTTCTATAGACCAAGTCTGATGGCACAAGCATGTATAATTACCCTACCCTCTCAGTAATGCAGTGATACCACACCCATGGATTCTTCCAGTGGTGTTGGCCCTGCATATTCAATTAAGGAGTTGTCATTTTATTATTTCTCTAGAGAAACGATACTAACTCAGGTGTGAGAGAACTTCTGTTTACAAGTGTTCTAATTGGCCACTTCAGAAACCCTTACATGTGACTGAGTCATTTAATTAATTAAAAACAGGTAATTGTGATTGATAATAGTGATTTCCCCAGCTTATATATAGTATGAAGTTAGTGTCATGCAGGTCATTGATAAGTAGTAAAACGTTGCATTTCCCACATAAAAAAGGGCCTGTGGCATGATGCATTCAACACTGAGGGACTGGTGCCCTCTAGTATCTCAGATGAGAAACATTGTCCTTTAAATCTTTGGATTTAGCAAATGAAAATGTGCAAGAATCTGTCAGCTGCTATTAGACTGGTATGGATAACTTGACAGTTGGTTTTGTCATTCCTCAACTTTTAGGAACCTGAAACTTCATCTTCCATATGCATTAAGTTTTTGTGTAAGCATTTGTTCAGTTCTAATACTGCCCTACTGAGGCCCTTACCAAAACCCCTTAAAACCCCATCCTCTGTGAATGTCAAATCGAGCAGCAAGCCCCTTTTGTTTTGGTTCAAGCCTGTCCTGGACCAGTGTTTGTGGGGTCAGAATAAATAAAGGATGTCATTAGGAAAAAGTATCCCCCCCACAAACTGCATCTCAAGTGCACAAGGTAATCACAAAATAGAAGAATATTAAGAAACCATTAATGGATCCAGTATTCAAAACCTGATGAAGTGTGGACAGTTCTGCCCAGAAAGCACTACAGCTTATATTAGTGGGCTTAGATAAAATCAGAAGTGAATCGAATAAACAACAGGAAAACATTTGATTTATAATTTTATAAATGAAGGATGTTCAAGTTGGTCTACCTCTAAGATACCCAAAAGCTAATATATACATAAGTAATATATTATAAATACTTTTAAAGCACATGTGTTTTCTACCTTCTGTTGAATCTGCTGTCCTGCAATTTCAAATCCTGTAAAAGCAATATATAGTTTTTTTGACAAATACACTCATGTGTGGTGCACAGTTTGATTTATATAAACTCATTTTGAATGCAGGAGCAGAATTCCTCCTGAACAGATGAAAAATATCTGCCTAGACTGATAAAAATATGTGTATAGAAACAGAGTTGTAAGAAGGGGTTTTTATATGAGGAAGATTTGTAACATTATTTTTAAAATTCCCTTTTAAAGAAACTTCTAGAAGACTTGCTTTTAGTTTTATGTTTTTGTGTCAGTTTGAGTGTTTACATAATTTGAAAGCGTCTACTCTGCCAAAACTCTTTTCTGCGAAGCAAAATAGCTTATGTGAGATTGGTAAGTGGGACAATGATGGCAGTAGAGCATGAAAGCTTTACTTGTTTGTGTGTTTCACCAAGTAGAAGCAGCTAGACCCACAGTCCATTAGTGTATATCAACACAGCCAGACAAGGGACAAAGGTGATACTAAGCACAAGTCATAGTCACCCTGAAGCCTGACACACGGTAGGCCACATACTTTACTATTGCGTAGTTCTAAGTCTTTCTGCAGTTTGTACTGACTTTATAACTTAGCACATCAACATCTCTCTTCCCTCAAGCTACCTTTACACACTTTCACAAGGGTTAGAGGAGACAGAGACAAAGAGAGGAAATTTTGTAGTATTCTCTGTATTGATTATACCATCTTTTAAATCATGCTTAACATTTACTAGACTAGTTATTATTTTCATTATATGATTATTACATAAATGTTGAATAGCTCTATCCTATAATTTCTATAAGCTCAATTAATTTTTAAGATTTATTAATTTTTTTGCTGGTCATGGAGGTACATGCCTTTAATACCAGCACTTGGGAAGCAGAGGCAGGTGGATCTCTGTGAGACTGAGGCCCAGTCTATATAGGGAAGTTATAGGCCACTTGGGGCTACAGGGAGACCCTGTCTCAAAAAGATTTAAAAAATTATTCATTTTTATTTTATGTGTCTGAGTGTTTTGTCTGCATATATCTAAGTGCACCACATGTGTACAATGCCCAGGGAGGCCAGAAGAAGGCATCGAATCCCCTGGAACTGGAGTTACAAGTGGTTTTGGTCTGCTATGTGGGTCCTGAGTCCTCTGAAAGAGCAGGCAGTGCTTTTAACTGCTGAGTCATCTTTCCAGCCCCAGTCCAATTATTTTTTTATGTGACTTTACAGGCCATACTGGGAATACATTATTGATTTATAACAAAATAGATATATTTGTACCTTACCTATTAATTGCATTTATCACTATCCAGTTCCTTTTTAATTATGGATCATTTTCATGAGTCTAAGGTACACACACAATGAGAAATCATTTGTCCCCTGAATCATTTCATTTTATCTTCACATGGTGATACTAGCCCTGTGTGTACATTGTAGAGCCCATTACAAAGCAACCGTCTCACCTTTATTTGTTCCTGGGCAATTGCTGAAAATATTTCTACCACAGAATCCCTTAATAAGATTCAATTTGTTTCTACTAAACCTTGTTTTGATTTTTTTTTAAATCACTAGTTATAGTTAGGCCTGGTGGTATAGAACTATAATCCCAACGTCTTTGGAGACTGGGGAAGAAGTACCACAATTTCAAGGTATGCCTGGTTTACAGAGTAAGTGCAAAGCATGTCTGAGCAATTTAGTGAGAACTTATCTCCAAATTATAAAAAAAAAATGAAAAGAGATCTGTGGATATGATTCAATGGTATTTGCTTAGCGTACATCAAGCCCCAGATTCAATTCTTAGTACAAAAAAAAATCACTAACTATAGTTTGAGTACTTTTTTTTTTTTTTTTTTTTTTTTGGTCTTTTTGAGACAGGGTCTCCCTGTAGCCCCAACTGACCTGGAACTCACTATGTAGACCAGGCTGGCCTTGAACTCACAGAGATCTGCTTGCCTCTGCCTCCCAAGTGTTGGGATTAAAGGTCTGTGCCCCCAGTTTGAGTACTTTTAAGAAATGAACCTACAACCCTACCCTACCCATATGTATACATACTCATTCTAAGTCATTCTTTAAGTCATTTATGGTTTGGATTTAAATGTTATATTTAACGTGATCTGAAATCTTAAATTCCATGGAGGTAAATTGCAAGGAGTCAGAGATTTGCAATAAGATTCCAAGAGATGAAGCCATCTGCTCCCATGTTAATTCACTTACCTCAGAAGAAAACAGAGCTCTTTCAGAAAGGCATCTTGGGTTTTGTTTTGGTTTGTTTTTTGGTTTTTGTAAGACAGGGCCTCCCTTGCAGCCCCAGCTGATCTAGAACTTGACCAGGCTGACCTCGATCCCAGAGAGATCCACCTGACTTTGCCCTCCTGGGTACTGGAATTAAAGACATGTGCCACCACGCCCAGCTCATCATTTATTTACTTATGTATTCACTTATTTATTCTGGTAACTGTCTGGCTAGACATGGTATGTTTGTTTCAGAAAAGCAGCAATGCCTTGATATTATTACTATGTCATTACTACATAACTAGTGTCAACATAGTGGATTTTTTTTAGAACAAGAGTAGTAAGCATATTACATAGGTTTCTAAGTTTCTGTACCAAATACAGGCAATTTCTTCTACAGAAGATGAACATCGCATTAGACATTAGTGATGGAGAGCTGAGCAGAGCTTTTGCTTTTAAGGAGAAGCTCACAGAGGGTGACAATGTAGGCATTCTGGCATATTCTCTGATGGATATACACAGGCATATCAGAGAATGCTCAGTGACAGATCAGAAGCAGTAGCTGTCAAAGAGAGGGGCTGTTTTAGCATCCATAATGAGGAAAATTGCCTTATGTATTTTCTTGTGTTTCTGTCACTGTTGCATCTCCAAAATTTTCAAATTTCAGTTCATTTGAACATGAAATACATTTTTAAAAAGAATCTTCAATAGGGTGTTGAGATTGTTTTATATCTTGATCTTCGTGGTAGAGTATACAAAATTCAACAAGTTATGTTCATATAAGATTAGCATTTTATCCTATATAAATCATGGATTAAATTTTAATAAATCCATCCAAACTTATAGTGCTGCTTTCTTTACTTCAGAAAAGAAATATTTAGCTTCCCATCTTTGATGATCAAGGTTACAGTAAGCAGATGTATCATGGAAAGAAAATAGGCCAAACTATTTTTTTCCATCCATAATAATTCATTGTTCTCTATGTTGTCTTTAGCTGAGAGCCCAGATTTTTCAAGAACACTCTTGAAAAGAGTGACACTTGTCAAAGTGGGAGGTGAAGTTGTCATTGAGTGTAAGCCCAAAGCATCTCCAAAACCTGTCTACACCTGGAGAAAAGGAAGAGAAATTCTAAGAGAAAATGAAAGGTACTGTGCTGAGATATTTTAATATTTGGAAGACTTTAAAGCACTGTTGTCTGTTATTACGATTTACTTTCTGCTACTTGAGCAAATGGTAGTCAAAGACCAGAAACTGCATAAAAAATATGGCTACATATTTACCTCCATTCTCCTTGGAGACAGCCCTCCATGTGGGAAAGAGCACCTGAACCCTGTTGAGTACTAACAGAGCTGTCTACAGGGGGGCAGCTACAAATACCCTCACTTTTAGTCTAGAATATCATTGCATGTTTGCCCATCATACCTCCTTGACTTGCTCAAATCTGTCCAGTTCCATACCACAGCAACTCTTCACATATGTAGCAGTGATCATTGTTTCCCAAGGTCAGTCTGCCTATAGCATGTCGTGCTACTTGATTTCTCATCATTTCATTTATATATCTTTGAGATACCAGATTGTTTTAATCTCTGAACTCCTTTTCTGTGGTTCCTGCTGTACATGAATTACATTTAGAAGGCATATTGTTTAAAGGATGTAAATTCATATGGGCTGCTTGGAGTTTGACATTAGATTGTACCAAATGGCACATATCTCCGTGACCTTGTCTTGGCTGTCACCCCTATAAAATATCTTCTACCATTTTCTGTAATGTATTCGATCTGTTGGAAAAGGGTAATTATGCATGAGTCTGTGTTTGTCACCCATAAGACAGGATTTACCAGCTGTATACATAATGATTTTAATCGATGCGAAAGGGCAAGTATTCATAGATGCAATGAGAAAGTCTTAAAATTGTGTGTATCTACCCTTTTGCACCTGTACACCTTTGAATTTGCATATACAAATTAGATCCTTGTGCTGATGATGTTGTCCTTTTTAATGATTTTTGTAAACAAACTTGATATGGCTTATTAGCGATATGTTCACACAGATATTAAGTTCCTGATTTTAT